TGTACGTTATTAATATTAATTTTTATTCAAAATGTCAAATCAAAAACTACAGGATGTTCGAAACATTTTGACATCATTTTGTATTTGTATTTTGCTGTGTTAATAAAAATAATTATGGCACAGCTAAACATTTTTTTTTGAATTATTCCATAATTTGGCACGTTGAAAAAATCCTATTTGCCATCCCTGTATTAGTTTATCGATTATAAATTAATAGCTCTTCTCTTGTTACCTCACGTACCATGACCTAATTGTGTGGTTTTTATATTAGAGATTTGTTTCAGTGGATCTGAATATGATTTAAAGTTTTTAGAAGCTATTATTAGTGTTTTTAATTGGTGATGTAGTAAATATGTAAAAAACCACTTATGCATTTTTAAAACTTAGTGTTATATTCTATTATCAAAAATAAAGTTAATACTTTTTAACGATAATTAATTAATTAAATAAGTTCTGTAATTAATAACTATAATGGTATTGAGAAATAAGAATTCAGACAGTGATTTAGTAGCATTCAGATGCAACTGGAAAACCCCGTAATAAGTTACGTTGTAGTTACGTTGTGACTCGCCGACTGCTAAACTTCTAGTCGGCCTTCAACATTCGACGTGTTAGTCGATATTTGTGAAATATTTTTACATCATTTTAAATGTTTAATAAAAACGTAACGTTTATAAAATGTCGTTTCACACATACAACAGATATATTTGTTACGTTTACATACATGTCTATTTGCATTTATGAGGTAAAATTCGTTACAATAGTCGCAAATTTTTTTAGATAATCCAAACGGGTTTTGCATTTGTTGAGTTGTTATTGTACTTTGCATATCTTTAAGTGTTCTTTTACCGTGGTTTCTTATTTTTTTATCGTTTAAATGTTCCAAATTTCTCACTGTGAACAAACAAAATAAAAATCAATAATGATATTATACGAGGTCTATTGAGAAAGTAACCTCCGGTTGATTGAAAAAAATACACCAAGTTAAGTAAAAATATTTTAATATATACATCTTACAACTACATCTTTGCACTATTTTTCGACATAGTCTCCATCACGATTGAGGCACTTATCGTATCTCTTCACGAGCTTTGAAATTCCTTCTGCATAAAAATCACCCGCTTGTGCCTTGAGCCAGCCTGTGACCGCATCTTTGAGCTCTTCGTCGTCATCAAACCGCTGGGATCCGAGCCATTTCCGATTGTATCCCTATGTTGGTTTTATTGTCTGCAGATATACACGATTTATATTCGTTACATAGTTTGTCCACGTAACCGTTTTCAGTAACCGACTCGTTTTTGTCTTCTAATATTTTGCACGGATCAATATTGTTAAACGAGATGTGACTATTGTCAGAACCGTTGAACATACGGTATGTAATTCTACAATATAAATCTTTTTTGAGCTTTGTGCCTTTCCAAGTTGTTGGAGATTGCGCAGGACACCAATAGTACAATAGTATTTCTGTTTTGTTAAACATAGTGGATTTGAAATCCACTATGAAGAAATGGATCTGAGAACTAAAATATAAATTATATTATTTACCTAATTTAATATATTATTATTTTTTTTTCTCTTTTTTTTATTTCTTATATGTTTAATATAGGAATATATTCTTAACACCTGAAACAAGAACTTATTTCTTTAAATGATCAATAGACAGAATAGGTCTTGCAATTAGTTGTTCCAATAGTTACACAAACCGATCTGTTTGGTTCTGGATTGTCAACCATCTTGGCTTTATATTTTAGCCTTCTCTGTTTCGCTAGAAATGTTTACCTTTTTCAAACATGGGAAAAAGATTATTAGCAGAAAATTGTGAAAATAAATGTACCTAACCACAGATTGCTCACATTTCAGGTACTGAAGACATCCTCTCTTTTAGAATATCCACAACTAACCTTCACCCCACATTCATCTACATTATTTTTATCGATGGTCAACCTAGCACCTTGTCATATGTTTTATAAAATATTATTTTGTGGTTGAAATGTACTACAAAGGTTTACCTATTGTAATGACTATGACCTCCACACTTCTAAAATTTGTGTGGTAATTTAATTTCTTTATTATAAATTTCTATCTTTTAAGTCAAGAAAATTTCCATTTTATTTAAGAATAGTTTCAATTATTGTATCAAGTAAAAACAATTTTGTGCTTGTAGATGATTATTAATTCATAAGTACATTTACTCTATAATAGTAACATATTTAGTGAACTGAAAACAATGGATGTATGATACAATGTGGATCTGAATTATGAATTAAAGTTTTTTATCTGGTTTTCTACATATACTACAACTAAAATATTTTTTGATAAAACAAAATGTTTGAATCTTTCTTTTATCATTACATTATAACTTTATTATTAATTGTGTATACTTATATAACAGCTATATGTTCTCATCTACCATATTTGCATTAACATTGATATACATTTGTTTTAATTTAAACAAACAAAAAATAAAAAGCTGATTTTTACGTGTTATTATTATTGTGTATAATAATTGTAAGTTGAAATTTCAACTGATATATGGTCAAGTTAGCTGTGATTTGACATAGTATTCAATAAATGCATATGTATGAGCCCCTGGCGTGATCTAACAATTCGCAAGCTCTTAAATGTATATTTGAATGAACATGTTGAATTTCAACCCAAAATATCAAACAAAAAAATTATTGGTTGTACATGTTATATAATTAGCATATGCATAAAAGCTTTTATGTGTATTTATACACAACAGCTATATTATATGTCTACACACAATGGTGTTATAGGAAACACGGTATATTAACAGTGAACAAGTTTATAATGCAATGTGTAGTAAAGAATATTTAAAAAATAGTTGTTATATAGTGTGTACAGAATAAAATAATTTACTGATCAAATCAGTTTTATGTAGGGTTAAGAAGCTATTATTATTGTTATTAATTGGTGATGTAGTAAATATGTAAACAACCATTTATAAATATAAATTACACTACTAGAAAAATATTGTATTAAGAAAAAAAAAAAAAAAAAAATAGTTTTTGTGTTACAATGTTAATATTATATAGTGAAACATTATTAAAAAAAAAAAAAAATATTTCTTTTTTCGAATATTATATCATACTAGCTTAACATATTGTATGAAAACTTAACGTTTTGAAGAGTTTAAATTAAAGAGAAACAATTACAAAAACATCACAAGCTTAAAACAAAGTTTTTTTTTGATAAAATAATTTGATTATTATTTTTTTTATATTTTCTCAATATGTTTTATTATCAACAAAAAATAATGAATTTTTACAACGTATTTGTGCTGGGTTGTACCATCTAAATCCTACATTGTAGTATCGTGTTCAAATCCATTATATTTACCTATGGAAATTCGTAAATATCATCCAATATTTATGAAATTAATTATATTTAAATATTTTTCATTAATCCAAATAAAAAATCAGATTTATTAATAATTTAGAATTGTGTTACCTATTTTTGTATTGTTTGAATACGCGATGGTCTTCTACAATATTTTCATTTAATAGAGTTTCATTTCCTCTTCATCACAATTCCTAACTTGGTATCTGAAAAATGCAGAGCTATCAGTGGACTATTAAGGTCAAGAATTTGTCTTTTACTTTTAAATTTATTGACCGGGGGGGGGGGCTGTTTTGTGGGGTATCCGTCCATTTTTTGGGTTTAGGGAACCAATGCTGTGGGGATGGGTTGGTTTTGTCCGTTACTGGGTTCAAAACGCCTGCGATGCGTCGTAACTCGCTGAGCGTCAGTGGCCGTTGAAGGCGGATGTGTGTACGAATGTGTCGCGCGTTAGTCCTCCTATAATACTTACCAACTCCGATTCGGATAGGCCGGTATTTACGCGGCGCGCTTGCTGGTATTTAACTAGCACAAATTCTGTAAGCGACTGTCTGGGCGTTTGTCGTGTTGACACGATGTCGGCGCGCAGTTGGGATTGGATTTCGGTATTGTTATAATTTTCTAAAAACTCAACCCTAAATTCTTCCCAGGTTAGGTTGAGTACTTTCGCTCACGTAAGCTATATGCCGGTGGTGGGCATAAGGGTTTGCGGGTGGCGGTGGGATGCGGGTTGTGGCGGGGTTGCTGGTTGCGGTTTCTGAATCCCCCTTTTTTCCAAACAGGCACTTTTTATGGTCCTCAAGAGTCATATGGTTTTTAACCACATGAGCTCTGATACCTTTCGCCTTAATCTTTTCTCCTCCCACTCTGTCCTCTTCTCCAGCATATACTTTAAATGCATATGACTTCGCCCTCAACGCACAAAATTCGGTTATTATATTTCCATTCACCTCATCAGAGAAGAACTCCGGGCTCTTCTTCCTATCTGGCATATAGCATGGGTGGTCACGGGGTAGGTTGGCAGTATCCATCCGGTCCAGTAAGATAGGATTTGTAGCCAGGTCCTCGTAAAAGTCCTCAGTATCTATATCTATATCTATATCTATATCTATATCTATATCTATATCTATATCTATATCTATATCAACGAATCTAGAAAAAGAATGTTAAATTAATATATTATATACAAGAGAATAGTTTTAGTATATTTACCTGTGTCAGTGTACATAAGCTTTATCTTCTCTCCATAATGTTTCTGCATGACATTATAATGATAATCATACATTAACGTTTTGCTAATATCTAATACAGCAAATCCTATGAAAAATAAATGTGTTAATAAATGTATTATAAAAGTGTAATTTAAAAAAAACGTATATTTACCAATATATATAGGTTTATCGAATTTGATTAATTTGTTCTCCAAAGCAACAGCGTTCAGGTTCTCGTTGTAATTTGTGCAGTGTTTAAATGTACATTTGTTTATTAATTTTTGCAACTTCCTCTCACATGTACTTTTGAGAGCGTATAAGGCGGGAAAAATTTGAAATATACACATAGTGTGAGTCTTCGTCGTCCGTCACCAACAACAAGTCAAAGTGGTTCGGTTTCACGGATATTATATTTAAACCAAAAAGAAGTTATATATTACAATAAAACGCTATACGTTCTTCAGCACTTAATTCAGGCATGGAACACAATTTTGAGTATTTAAGCAACCATTGTGGGTTTCGGAAGAGATTTATAAAAACAGCTAAGTTGTGTTTTGTTCGGATATGATTATCGATACGCATGAATTCTGTATTGCATAAAAAACAAAGAGCTTCTCGTTTCGTACGCCCGTATATAACATGCTTAATTTTGGATTTTATTTGTTTCAAATCAATAGACAAAAGACGGGTTATGTCTTCCGGTGACGGTGTAAAACAATCAAAATCTGTTAAAACTGATTTAGTTAGTAACCATTTTGCAGATCCAAAATTTACAGATTCCGAAAAATTAACACCTAAATTTATAGATTGGTGCATAATATTTGGTTGTATATATATGCCAGTATTTCTAATTTGCAATGCCAATTCTATTGGTATATAATTTTCTAAAAAAAATTTCGGATGAATAAATATCAATTGTCCTTGATCCAGTGGTATAAGTGTTTTTAATTTTTTCGCTGCGGCTTGCGATAGAAACAACCAGAGTTTGGGGTAGCCTTCGTATAAGAGGTGTATTACTGGTAAATGATCGGGTTCTATACGGAGACTAGTCGCGGTTCTTGAATTTCCAATATGAAAAACCGATCGATTTAATCCCGATTGTATCCCTATGTTGGTTTTATTGTCTGCAGATATACACGATTTATATTCGTTACATAGTTTGTCCACGTAACCGTTTTCAGTAACCGACTCGTTTTTGTCTTCTAATATTTTGCACGGATCAATATTGTTAAACGAGATGTGACTATTGTCAGAACCGTTGAACATACGGTATGTAATTCTACAATATAAATCTTTTTTGAGCTTTGTGCCTTTCCAAGTTGTTGGAGATTGCGCAGGACACCAATAGTACAATAGTATTTCTGTTTTGTTAAACATAGTGGATTTGAAATCCACTATGAAGAAATGGATCTGAGAACTAAAATATAAATTATATTATTTACCTAATTTAATATATTATTATTTTTTTTTCTCTTTTTTTTATTTCTTATATGTTTAATATAGGAATATATTCTTAACACCTGAAAGAAGAACTTATTTCTTTAAATGATCAATAGACAGAATAGGTCTTGCAATTAGTTGTTCCAATAGTTACACAAACCGATCTGTTTGGTTCTGGATTGTCAACCATCTTGGCTTTATATTTTAGCCTTCTCTGTTTCGCTAGAAATGTTTACCTTTTTCAAACATGGGAAAAAGATTATTAGCAGAAAATTGTGAAAATAAATGTACCTAACCACAGATTGCTCACATTTCAGGTACTGAAGACATCCTCTCTTTTAGAATATCCACAACTAACCTTCATCCCACATTCATCTACATTATTTTTATCGATGGTCAACCTAGCACCTTGTCATATGTTTTATAAAATATTATTTTGTGGTTGAAATGTACTACAAAGGTTTACCTATTGTAATGACTATGACCTCCACACTTCTAAAATTTGTGTGGTAATTTAATTTCTTTATTATAAATTTCTATCTTTTAAGTCAAGAAAATTTCCATTTTATTTAAGAATAGTTTCAATTATTGTATCAAGTAAAAACAATTTTGTGCTTGTAGATGATTATTAATTCATAAGTACATTTACTCTATAATAGTAACATATTTAGTGAACTGAAAACAATGGATGTATGATACAATGTGGATCTGAATTATGAATTAAAGTTTTTTATCTGGTTTTCTACATATACTACAACTAAAATATTTTTTGATAAAACAAAATGTTTGAATCTTTCTTTTATTATTACATTATAACTTTATTATTAATTGTGTATACTTATATAACAGCTATATGTTCTCATCTACCATATTTGCATTAACATTGATATACATTTGTTTTAATTTAAACAAACAAAAAATAAAAAGCTGATTTTTACGTGTTATTATTATTGTGTATAATAATTGTAAGTTGAAATTTCAACTGATATATGGTCAAGTTAGCTGTGATTTGACATAGTATTCAATAAATGCATATGTATGAGCCCCTGGCGTGATCTAACAATTCGCAAGCTCTTAAATGTATATTTGAATGAACATGTTGAATTTCAACCCAAAATATCAAACAAAAAAATTATTGGTTGTACATGTTATATAATTAGCATATGCGTAAAAGCTTTTATGTGTATTTATACACAACAGCTATATTATATGTCTACACACAATGGTGTTATAGGAAACACGGTATATTAACAGTGAACAAGTTTATAATGCAATGTGTAGTAAAGAATATTTAAAAAATAGTTGTTATATAGTGTGTACAGAATAAAATAATTTACTGATCAAATCAGTTTTATGTAGGGTTAAGAAGCTATTATTATTGTTATTAATTGGTGATGTAGTAAATATGTAAACAACCATTTATAAATATAAATTACACTACTAGAAAAATATTGTATTAAGAAAAAAAAAAAAAAAAAAATAGTTTTTGTGTTACAATGTTAATATTATATAGTGAAACATTATTAAAAAAAAAAAAAAAATATTTCTTTTTTCGAATATTATATCATACTAGCTTAACATATTGTATGAAAACTTAACGTTTTGAAGAGTTTAAATTAAAGAGAAACAATTACAAAAACATCACAAGCTTAAAACAAAGTTTTTTTTTGATAAAATAATTTGATTATTATTTTTTTTATATTTTCTCAATATGTTTTATTATCAACAAAAAATAATGAATTTTTACAACGTATTTGTGCTGGGTTGTACCATCTAAATCCTACATTGTAGTATCGTGTTCAAATCCATTATATTTACCTATGGAAATTCGTAAATATCATCCAATATTTATGAAATTAATTATATTTAAATATTTTTCATTAATCCAAATAAAAAATCAGATTTATTAATAATTTAGAATTGTGTTACCTATTTTTGTATTGTTTGAATACGCGATGGTCTTCTACAATATTTTCATTTAATAGAGTTTCATTTCCTCTTCATCACAATTCCTAACTTGGTATCTGAAAAATGCAGAGCTATCAGTGGACTATTAAGGTCAAGAATTTGTCTTTTACTTTTAAATTTATTGACCGGGGGGGGGGGCTGTTTTGTGGGGTATCCGTCCATTTTTTGGGTTTAGGGAACCAATGCTGTGGGGATGGGTTGGTTTTGTCCGTTACTGGGTTCAAAACGCCTGCGATGCGTCGTAACTCGCTGAGCGTCAGTGGCCGTTGAAGGCGGATGTGTGTACGAATGTGTCGCGCGTTAGTCCTCCTATAATACTTACCAACTCCGATTCGGATAGGCCGGTATTTACGCGGCGCGCTTGCTGGTATTTAACTAGCACAAATTCTGTAAGCGACTGTCTGGGCGTTTGTCGTGTTGACACGATGTCGGCGCGCAGTTGGGATTGGATTTCGGTATTGTTATAAATTTCTAAAAACTCAACCCTAAATTCTTCCCAGGTTAGGTTGAGTACTTTCGCTCACGTAAGCTATATGCCGGTGGTGGGCATAAGGGTTTGCGGGTGGCGGTGGGATGCGGGTTGTGGCGGGGTTGCTGGTTGCGGTTTCTGAATCCCCCTTTTTTCCAAACAGGCACTTTTTATGGTCCTCAAGAGTCATATGGTTTTTAACCACATGAGCTCTGATACCTTTCGCCTTAATCTTTTCTCCTCCCACTCTGTCCTCTTCTCCAGCATATACTTTAAATGCATATGACTTCGCCCTCAACGCACAAAATTCGGTTATTATATTTCCATTCACCTCATCAGAGAAGAACTCCGGGCTCTTCTTCCTATCTGGCATATAGCATGGGTGGTCACGGGGTAGGTTGGCAGTATCCATCCGGTCCAGTAAGATAGGATTTGTAGCCAGGTCCTCGTAAAAGTCCTCAGTATCTATATCTATATCTATATCTATATCTATATCTATATCTATATCTATATCTATATCTATATCAACGAATCTAGAAAAAGAATGTTAAATTAATATATTATATACAAGAGAATAGTTTTAGTATATTTACCTGTGTCAGTGTACATAAGCTTTATCTTCTCTCCATAATGTTTCTGCATGACATTATAATGATAATCATACATTAACGTTTTGCTAATATCTAATACAGCAAATCCTATGAAAAATAAATGTGTTAATAAATGTATTATAAAAGTGTAATTTAAAAAAAACGTATATTTACCAATATATATAGGTTTATCGAATTTGATTAATTTGTTCTCCAAAGCAACAGCGTTCAGGTTCTCGTTGTAATTTGTGCAGTGTTTAAATGTACATTTGTTTATTAATTTTTGCAACTTCCTCTCACATGTACTTTTGAGAGCGTATAAGGCGGGAAAAATTTGAAATATACACATAGTGTGAGTCTTCGTCGTCCGTCACCAACAACAAGTCAAAGTGGTTCGGTTTCACGGATATTATATTTAAACCAAAAAGAAGTTATATATTACAATAAAACGCTATACGTTCTTCAGCACTTAATTCAGGCATGGAACACAATTTTGAGTATTTAAGCAACCATTGTGGGTTTCGGAAGAGATTTATAAAAACAGCTAAGTTGTGTTTTGTTCGGATATGATTATCGATACGCATGAATTCTGTATTGCATAAAAAACAAAGAGCTTCTCGTTTCGTACGCCCGTATATAACATGCTTAATTTTGGATTTTATTTGTTTCAAATCAATAGACAAAAGACGGGTTATGTCTTCCGGTGACGGTGTAAAACAATCAAAATCTGTTAAAACTGATTTAGTTAGTAACCATTTTGCAGATCCAAAATTTACAGATTCCGAAAAATTAACACCTAAATTTATAGATTGGTGCATAATATTTGGTTGTATATATATGCCAGTATTTCTAATTTGCAATGCCAATTCTATTGGTATATAATTTTCTAAAAAAAATTTCGGATGAATAAATATCAATTGTCCTTGATCCAGTGGTATAAGTGTTTTTAATTTTTTCGCTGCGGCTTGCGATAGAAACAACCAGAGTTTGGGGTAGCCTTCGTATAAGAGGTGTATTACTGGTAAATGATCGGGTTCTATACGGAGACTAGTCGCGGTTCTTGAATTTCCAATATGAAAAACCGATCGATTTAATCCCGATTGTATCCCTATGTTGGTTTTATTGTCTGCAGATATACACGATTTATATTCGTTACATAGTTTGTCCACGTAACCGTTTTCAGTAACCGACTCGTTTTTGTCTTCTAATATTTTGCACGGATCAATATTGTTAAACGAGATGTGACTATTGTCAGAACCGTTGAACATACGGTATGTAATTCTACAATATAAATCTTTTTTGAGCTTTGTGCCTTTCCAAGTTGTTGGAGATTGCGCAGGACACCAATAGTACAATAGTATTTCTGTTTTGTTAAACATAGTGGATTTGAAATCCACTATGAAGAAATGGATCTGAGAACTAAAATATAAATTATATTATTTACCTAATTTAATATATTATTATTTTTTTTTCTCTTTTTTTTATTTCTTATATGTTTAATATAGGAATATATTCTTAACACCTGAAAGAAGAACTTATTTCTTTAAATGATCAATAGACAGAATAGGTCTTGCAATTAGTTGTTCCAATAGTTACACAAACCGATCTGTTTGGTTCTGGATTGTCAACCATCTTGGCTTTATATTTTAGCCTTCTCTGTTTCGCTAGAAATGTTTACCTTTTTCAAACATGGGAAAAAGATTATTAGCAGAAAATTGTGAAAATAAATGTACCTAACCACAGATTGCTCACATTTCAGGTACTGAAGACATCCTCTCTTTTAGAATATCCACAACTAACCTTCATCCCACATTCATCTACATTATTTTTATCGATGGTCAACCTAGCACCTTGTCATATGTTTTATAAAATATTATTTTGTGGTTGAAATGTACTACAAAGGTTTACCT